TCAGCAGTTTGTCGGCTGTAACTGTCTCTTATGTTATCATATGCCTTTGGTCAGTTCCCAGAATTCTGAAACATATTGATTTTGTTCATTTTGTCCAGTTTCATAGTTGTCTTCTGTCCATGTCTACCCTTGACTGTAGCCAGAAGTCCTGACCTTGTTTTCTTTTTTTTGCCTTTGTTCTGTTTCTCTTCTGAAAATAAAATTTTACATCAAAATGAATTAAATTTGGCAAATTCTCTACTTTATCATAATGTATACACGGTTCTTGCTCCCAGTGCCCCTCTTGCTGTGCCATTTCAGGAAACTCTGTATTTCTGTAGTCATTCTGCTAGCACTGAAGTCCCTGTGCTGGTGTGTCGGTTCTGAGATTGGGTACACGGGTGTCGTGTTAAAAATTCCTGGTAATTTTCATATAACGTATAATTATTGCAGACAGTTCTCATATCACTGTAATTTCCTTTTTATGTCTCCCTGCTCATTTGGTTTCACATTAATGATGTATCTTTATTTCCAAAAATCTGTCTGTATTTGTACAACACAAAGATCTAAATGACTCCGTGAAAATGAGGAGCAGGGCAGCCTCGGATCGATTCCCTGATCCTAAAGCAGTGCTGTCAGCTGAGGAGTCTCTGAACTGCAGTTCCCTCCCCCATGCCTTATCCTGGGGGGCCACGGTGGGGATCAGGGGGCAGGGCACCAAGGGCAGGAGTGCTGGGTCCCAATTTACTCTATATGAGAAATTAAAATCAGCCCGACCAATAGGGACCAGGACGGCTTCCTCCTCATCCGTCAAACGCTGATCTGAGAAACTCCAGTATAAACCCTTAAGCCTCTGCATCACCTGCCCTACTTCTGTCCTGGTCAGCCTAACTGCCAAAAGGAAACATGGTGATTATTTTTGAGTAAATGATCAGAGATTCCTTTCTTTGTTGTAGCACCTTGACTTTGTTTATTCCTTTTGATGCTGAAGACCATCAGAATCTCAAATCTCTGCCTCTAGGCTGAGACTCAGTAGAATCCCACGTGTTTGGAGCATAGTTGTTTGATAGTTGATACTCATTCAATTGGAAATTCCGAGTCATTGCTCTGCAGCCTTAATTAATATCGGTTGTGATTTGGGATCGTGTTTAGCGAGATAATATAGAAGTGACTACATATTCTCCCACTTTAATTAGAGACCTACTATGCATTAATCAAAATGGTAAGTTTATTTTAAATTGAAATTAATTGAAGAAACATAGAGAAAGATACGTGTGCACCGAAAAATATATAAAGCACATTAGGGATGTTTATAGCCCTAAGACTTCATAACAAAGACCCCAAATGACAGTGGCTGAAACCAGATATGCTTTTCTGTCCTGCATTCACAGTTCACGCTGCTGAGCTGTGTTGGAGCCCAAGGTCGTCCGAGGACTCAGGTTCTTTCCACCATGGTGCTTACTCATCAGCTTCATGGTTGAGTTGACTCCTTAGCTGTGTCGCCATCCCAGCTCATGGAAAGTGGAAAGATCCAAAACCCAGGGCAAGTGACTTGCCTTACTTCAGTATGACCCAGAAATTGTCCTTCGCATTGACCTGATGGGTTGCATGTCCACCTCTGGCTGCACGGAAGTCTGACCAGTATGATCTTGATCTGAACATACACTGACCCAGTGAGCAGACTGTTGTATGTCCATT